GGGGGGGGGGGGGGGGGGGGAAGCTGGAGGAGTTGCAGGTTTTAGCTCAGGTAAATAAAGCCTCAGTTGATTGACAGACACATGTTAGAGTCAGCCATGGGCAGAGGATGGTCCGGGGTCAGAGGTCAGCCCCCCCCCCTGCAGACACACCTCCTATTGTTGGCTTTAAACACAAGCTGCAGGCACTTCTCTGTCATCACTTGAGTCAGAGGATCAGATCTGAGCCCCTGCAAGTGCCCCCCCCCCCCCCCCCTTCTGCCAAGATCCTCTCCTCCACGTTTCAGACCAAACTTCTTCCTCAACCTGACAGAAGCTTCAGCTTCAAACCTGCAGGATGAGATCAACCAAACTCCTTTCATGTTTTATCAGCAACAATTAGGTGCAAAATGTAAAAAATAAATAATAAATAAATAACAGAATGAAATGAGTCGTGTTAAAAAATTAGGCTGTTTAAGAAAAAAAATGGTGATTTTAAATTTTATGTCAGCAACACGTCCTGCCACGGTTCTGTGACGCCTCAGCTCTTCCTCTAACAAACATCCAGGATCTGAGGAGACCAGCTGGAGGTCTTCTTGTCTGATGGAGGACTCTAGTGCCCCTTTTCCACTGGTTCCACTTAGTGTAGTGTCGGTACGGTTTGGTACGGTTCCAAGCCATTTCCTTTAGGCCAGATCCATGGAACCGGCCCTTTTTTTAAGTACCTACTTCACTGTGGTTCCAAGCGGCCCCAGCTGACACCAAAATGTGATGTCAGAACACTGTTCGTCACCGATTGGCTAAATTATTGCAAATTTTTAAAATTTTAAAATTTATTCATCAAATGTGTTTCCAGATCCCATTTTGCCCATTAACTTTTTTCAAAACAACCTAAAAACAACCTCCACAAACCACCCAAAACACACCCATTTGAACCGGACTGGAACATCAGTGGAAAACCAACCGGTCCGACCCGTACCTACACCGACCTTTCCGACACTACACCATGGCAAAGGGGCATAGCTGTCTGACAGTCTAAAACCTGTACACACTGTCCATGTCAGACGCACTAACGCACCCCCATACCATCAGAGAGGCAGGCTTTTAAAGACGATAACAGGCTGGATTTCACTACAGAGGATACAGAAGCCGTGTTTCCATCAAGGTTTTTAGATGGGCATTTTGAAGAATCACATCAGAAAAGGTGAAACGGCATGATTCGAAAAAAAACTGCCTCTAATTCGCAAAAAAGTTGATACGCTCACTTCAGGTGGTTTTTGGGTTTTTTGAAAAGGAGTTAATGCACAAAAGGAGAGATGGAAACACATTTGCCAAATAAGTTCTGACGTAGCRAACATTTACGTCACATACGATCAGCTATTTCTGCTGTCTGTCCGATACTGATCCCGGTACCAGAGCGACTGGCAGCAGGACCCTCCTCCCGCTGTCAGCGTATTCTCCGTTATTCTCGTAACGTGATGAGAATTGCATTTCTTTCTCTATGTCTCCAGACAGCAGTAGCATCGCCAAAACTAGTTGATATGACAGAATAATTACAACTTTCCCGATAGTAGCAACACGTTCCTGATAACTTCTCTCCATGGTCCGGAGATGTGTGGACCCTGAGAGTTTACCACTTTTACTTCCTGTTTACTACAAACATGCGTCTGATGTAATTGATTCGTTTCAAGCCAGTTGATGGAAACACGTCGGATTCACATTTCTTCGAAATTTAAAAAAAAAAACTCACTCAACATTTGAATTAAAATTGGATGCAAACACGGCTACAGTTTGTGGTTCAGACCGTCGGTCCAGAGAAACCGAACGGATGCTGTTCTTTGCACGATAGAGCTTTAAGAGTTTGCGGATGATGCGGTGAACTGTGGAAGTGTTCCTGAGTCCATCAGAACCAGACCTGGTTTTTTACTGACTTTCCAGCTTTGAGCTCTGAGATTTCAACAGATTCTTGAATATTTTGATGATATTTTGAACCGTAGGCGACGGTTATATTCGCTCTTTCCAATTTCCCATTGAGGAACGTTATTCTGAAAAGTTTTCCATGAGTTTTAGTCTCAGTTTTCACAAACCGGTGAACTCCTGCACGTCTTTATTTCTGATGGATTCAGCCTCCAAATTCTCTTTTCATTCAGTCGTTTTGTTTCTAGTTAATCTAATTTGTTGAGAAATGCTTCTCCAGCTGTTTCCCATTTGTACCACTTATTTTTACAGCCTTTTCTTGGCCCAGTCCCAGATTTTTTTTTTTTGGAAATATGTCACTGCCATAAAATTAAAAATGTCCTTTTTTTCCCCTCGAAAATTGGAACAATTTCCTATTTGTTTTGGTTTTACCGTTGCTTTCTGGTTTTACTCATATTTTACATCCCTTCTTTCTCTTTTCTGTTAAAATCTGGAGCTGCATAGAGTCAGGTTGGAGCGTGCCTCAACCAAATCCACAGGAGAGACTTTTGTCAACACGACACCGTTTGAGAGGCGATAAACGACTTAACTGCCCGCTTTAACACCAGCTCGCGCCTACAGACTCTGAGAGCCCCAAATCCTGGCCCGAGGGGGTTATGGTGGGATCAACGAGCCCTTTTTTAGAGAGCGTGAAGCATTTTCAGCTGCTTTTGTTGTGTTCTTAGCATTCTAGTGAAACACTTACTTCCTCTTTAAGAGATAAACGTCTGGCCTGTGGGAATGCTTTAATCACTGATGCTTTTAGGGTTCAGGTTAAATAAAAGGAAAGAGTTTACGTTTCATATGAAGTCTCTGCCACTGACCGACCTGCAGCCTGGGTTTCGTTGGATTTCAGGCCCTGAAAAGCTGAGGAAATATTCCAGGAATGTATCGAATATTTGTCGTCCGGCCAAAAAGAAAGGTGGATCGGACGATCGGGATGAGGTGCAGCGGGGAGTTTCTCCAGCGGAGTGGAAACAACCCGAGTTCAACGCTCGTCCAGATTTACAGATTCTGAAAGCGGTGATGTCATCTTCAGAAGGTGTTTTATCATCCGAAGGCGTCACGTCGAAAACATCGCCTCACACAAACACAAACGACAGGATGCGGCCCTCTGCACCTGGGAGGCTTTGATCCGGGATGTATTATCCTCACAGGCCCAGAGCGGGAGCTTCACACAGCATTAACCTTTTATTTTTGGTTTTTATCATCTCAGRTAAAAAAAAAAGGTAAACAAACCTTGGCGCACACGTGGAGTGTGACAGAGGAAGGGCGATTTCCTTTTTCTCAGACGTAAAGTGTTGTGCTGAAAAGCATCTGGCACAATGCAGAGTGCCTTCATTTCCTGCCAGCCTCTCTAAGGAGGGTGGGGGGGACGGGACCCCCCGAGTAGCTCCCAATTGAAAATAGAGTCATGCTGCTTTAAGCAGCTTCTCACAAAGTTACAAAAAAAAAGAACAGAAGCAAAAGATACAGGATGGAGAGACGAGGGGGAGTGGTGGTGGTGGGGGGGCATCCTGGGAGGCGCCCCCCCCCCCAGCTGAACTGAACACTGATGTCACTTTTGATCTCCAAATTAAAAGACGTTCCTCCCAAAGGAGAGGTACAGAGGGCCACCATCAAAGCAGATCATTTCACTTTTAAATGAGCTTAAGGCCCAAATCTGCACAACTAATAATCCTGACTGATCAAGGTTCTGCTGTAACTTTGATTAAAAAGATGCTGATTTTCTGTCTAATAGTTAGAAATAGTTTGTATCTCATAAGCTGCAGCATCAGTTAAGAAACTAAATAAGAAGAAAAGTGCAAAAGTATTCCTCAGAGTCAGGCTTTAAATCACAAAGTTGGGATTTTTTGCACAGAAACATTATTTTATACTTTCMTATYAAAGGGGRAATATTATGTGTTTCTCAGGCAYACATTTAAATACTATACCATAATAAAATATCTATGTCACCTTTAGTTGTTATTAAAATGCTGTTTTTACGTTTAAATAGAAAATAAACTTATTTTCTCATCACTTCCTCTTCTAAACGCCTTGAAATTGGCCTCTGTCTCTTTAAGAACCACCTTCCGCTTCTGTCCCGTCCATTTCAGTCGGGGGCACGCGCTATGATGCAGTTTACTTGGCATCTGAAAATACATTTCCTCAAAGGTATTTTGAATCTGAAAAGAGCTTCACTGAGAAGTAGCCTAGTGTTAGGAGCTCAGCAGACAGTTTCAGTTTCACTTTCAGTTTCACCCGTTGTTTGCTTTGTTACTGCTGAGAGCCTGCAGGAGTCATGGGCGGGGTGTGTGGGGAGGGGAGGGGGTTGCGCTCTGCCATGAGG